TTTGCCGAAGCGCACGCTGCATTGGCGAAAGTGAAGTCGTTCTTTTATGCGCATAATATTAGTGAATGTGACGAGGAAAACATTTTGAACGTGGAAAGTGCTCTGTTTGGTCTAAAACGTAAAGTTTCGACAAACCAGTTGTCCATTAAAGACTTTTTTGGTAAAAAGAAGTAACTTTGAAAGAGAAACATTGTTTTTTTTAAAATTTTTAATGCTTTCCCGCATCTATCGTTTTCCCGCATTCATCGTTTTTATTTCCCACCCCCGCCGAAAACGATGCATCGAGGTTTCACTGTATATCTAAATTATAATTAAAATTATACCTCAAAGAATACCCATTGCAGCAGTCAGTTTATATTTATGGAAATAACATGTTAATTCTGAGAACTAAATGGAATTCATTAATAAACACCATAGGTAACAAACATGTTGCATTACTGAACATTAAAAGAAGTTGGTGTACTGTGAACGACTGGTTAAATTGAATGTAATGTGAAATGTGCATGATAAACAAGCTTTTTTTGTGGGCTTCTGAAGCTTGAATTAGTTACAAGTATTCATTGTGATGACAGTTTGTGCTCAGTTTATATAGTCAGGTAAAGTCAGCCTGTACTTTTCTAATACTTTCTTTGTAGAACCCTTGACTGAAGACTACTGTGGTGTTGAACCTGTGACACACCCGCCAGACTTTGTGGAAACTAGACCACCCCCTGTTGTAGATGAAGATAAGCTCAGACAAATATACCAGCGTACTGACTCGGCCATACTCGGAGGTAAGATTTGTGTCTTGTGTTTTGCACCATATTGTTACCTGGTAAACATTTTGAAATCTTTTGCAAAGACTAAAATTTTTCATTTAACATAATGTTCTAATAAAAAGAAAATGCATTGACTGCCACAATATTTGTTAACTAGATTTGATAAAATATATTGACAGACTGTCTTCAGACTTTGCATAATTTGCAGGGATTTTGAATTTAGCAGCTTGTTACTTACTTGATTTAAAATCTGAATTTTCTAAACATGCTGTGATGTCTGAAATTTGTAGTAATTCATTGGGTTTCTGGTTGAGTTTTTCTGCAGTTTATGTACATTTTCAAACAGAGATTCTTCTTGTCATTTCGTATCAGCCCTGAGAAATAAAAGTGATGTATTGTATGGCAAAAATAAAAATTACACAGACTGATGCTTAATCAGCTTCTCTGTTGGGAACTGCTGGTTTGAACCTCCGTTTGCCTTACAGGAAATATAATTGGCAGGCAGAATAAAATAGCAGTCTTATTTTCTTCTTCCCTTCATTCTACATAGTTACTAAAATAACTACTTGTCTAGTACACATAGTATACTTGCAATAGTGAATCTATCACGAGTGTCTAGGTGATAAATCTGCCACTGCATTTCACATGGTTTTTAATGAACTGTTTGTTTGTGTTCTAAGAGCTGTCAGTGGGTATTGCTCACTGTGTCTGTTTTTTGATGTATTTTGGATAATTTATTCACATTTTGCAGCAAGTAGAATCATAAGCAGGAACACAAAATGCTGCTTAATAAATGTAGATTACATTATTGGCAAATGAGCCGGGATAGCTCAGTCAGTATAGTGACTAGCTATGGGCTGGATGACCGGGGTTCGATCCCCGACGGGCAGAGGATTTTTCCTCCAGCCTCTGTGTCCAGACCAGCTCTGGGGCCCACCCAGCCTCCTCTACAATGGGTACCGGGGTCCTTTCCCGGGGGTAAAGCCGGCCGGGGCGTGATGCCGACCACTCACCCCCATCTAGTGCTGAGGTCAAGAAAGAGAGGAACCATACCTCCACTCCCCCCAAGCGCCTGTATGGCACATAGTGGGACAAACTTTACTTTACTTTACTTTTACATTATTGGCAAAACTTGGTTTGTGTGGTGAATACATAATTACCTGATGTGGTTTTAAAAACTGAACTCACTTGTATTGGATTTGTGACAACAAATTTATTCAATTTTATATTGTTTTATACTGTGTAGTTACTATGTTTATTCTTACATAGATCCTCCCAAGATTATTCATAAGCTTAGGATCTTGGTAAATGAGTGAGTAATGGAACAAATGTTCTTGGCTTTGAATTCAACAGGAATCAATAGAACAGTTTTTATTAAAATGTACTTTATCTGTGATTTTATTAGTAAACAATTTTCCACTTCTTGTGACATTTTAAACCCAAATTTTGTTTTCAGATACTTCTTTATATTGATGTATAGTGATTTGGCAGCATCTTGTTATCTAGATGAAGTGTGGCTGATAGTACAAATTGCTGATTTCTGTGCATTTCATCCTGTTTTTTCATTAAATGAAATAAAAACTGAGGTTGGTCACAGTGAATCATTCATATAGTGTACAGCAAACTCACCAGACAGTACGAATATATAATGCTGACTACAACACAATTTTATAATAAATTATGAAGACAAACATTTGAACTTGGATTTTAAGGTCCCAGCTGTGTGAAGTTTAGAGCTCATTTCACATTTTGAATTTCTTGTACACCTATACTTAAAAACTTAATCTTGAATCTAATTTTGTAACCACTCTTAAGATATTGTTGATGGATGTAGCTGAAGACATGCACTTGCATTTTATATATGAAAAGCTTCTAAGCTTTCTCATCAAGGTTCATTTTAGTTATACCCCCTCTTTTTTTCTTGTGGGGAAGAGTGAATTGACAGAAGCACTTTTGGAGCAACTTCCAATTCCATTTAGAGGAAGGTAATCTGTGTCTGCATTAAGCAGGTACTCCTCACAAGAAGGGTGAAGGGTGTCTTCACTATTGTTTTGTGTAACCAGACCAAATATTATGAACTTTCTTTTTTTATATTGTATAATGTAATTCTTTTCCACAAACCATTTCTTTCCAAATATTGTGTTCATTTCAGATTTGCAGAAAACTTTGTTGGGCATAGTTTCATTGTAATTCTGTTACCATACTTGATAAGGATCTGAAATTATCCTTACATTACCATATTTCTATATCATCATCTATGGTGCTTTGGCCTATTTTCGGGCCATGATCTCCCCACTTAGGAAGTTTCTTGGTCTTTTGAAGTGTGTATTTGTGAGTAGTGAGTGACCAGCCCACCGACTGCACAATTTCTACTCAATCCTGATTTGACTGCCAGAGCAGGAGACATGGGACCTCCAGCTATACTTCTTCTCCGAAGGAAGTTGTGCTACGGATTTTTATCACCCTTAATAATCCATTGACCTCGGCCAGGATTGAACCCGCGAATGTTGGGTCCAGTGGCGAGCATGCTAACCACTAGTCCACTGAGGGCAACACCATACTTCTATATGGTTGTTTTTATTTCACTGAAACATGTTGAAAGAAATTAGTATTTCATTACAATTTTTCAGGTATTCTGGCCATCATATTTTTGGCACTGGTGATAATGGCAGTTTTGATTGGTCGATATTTGGCTCGTCATAAGGGCGAATATTTAACTCAAGAAGACAAAGGCGCAGAATCTGCACTGGATCCAGACTCTGCAGTTGTACGATCCACAACAGGCCACCAGGTGCAGAAGAAGAAAGAGTGGTTCATCTGATACAGAAATAAATGCTGCAAGAGTACATGTACTGCTACTGCCATTGATGTCTGCTTCAACAACATTCTGCAGCTGAGTGATTTCCTCTTCATCAGAATGTGTCTGAATTTAAGTAGCCATAGGCTAAGACTTTCATGGAAAGACCAAGAAGTTGACAATCATGGGGTAACTGTTCACTGTGCCCATAACAGGAGGAGTTCGGAACTCTCATTAACAGACAGAAATGACAAGTAGTATCTTGTCTCCAGCAGAGAAGCAGATGTTGCAACCGTTGCTCCTAATTTGTGCTCTGTGGATAAAGTTTGCCACATACCAAAACCAGACAGTTTAAATCTCATAACCTTGTAGGTTATGGTAGAATAATGAGGTAATACATTTCTTCATTATGATGGGATTTACATTGGATTTTGCAATTAATTTGCCATTTTAAAAATTAGAATGCTTGAAAATTAGTGTTACAAGGTAACATTGCATATTTTAGTTATTGGTAGTGTAGTGTAGGTATACATATTGAGTTACAAAGTTTTATTGGGGACTTTGTTTCAGGCACTGCATGTGGGAGGGGTGCAGTATAAGTAGGATTTGAGGTTTTTACAGTGGTGAGTCTGAAGATGGCTACCTTCTGGGTTGTTGCGCTGTGTAGTCTGGTAGAAGTTTACAGACGTTTCAGAGGTCCTTGCCATTTTCAGATGCAGTACAGTTTGAGTTTCAAGTTTGACATTGCATGGGCTTATAATTTATGCCACACTGAAAACACTGCACAGCTGTTGGGTTTGCGTGCGGATTATATCATACCATGTACTAAATCTTACCTCTTTTTATATATATAATTTTCCTTGATGGTTATTTGTTCAAAAACTACTGCAGAGTAATAAAATCAAAGCATATTACAACAGTTTCAAGATGTTTGCTCTTTTAAGATTTGTTGGTTCATTTATCTGCTGTCAGTAAAGGTCTCTTGTTAGGATTCACATTATACATCTATGTTTGAAACATTGTGACTCTGGATGTTAAACTAGATTTCATATTTAAATCATAGCTGTCTGGAATCTGTATGTCATTATAAGTACAGTTTGAACTTGCCATCAAGTTTGGAACATGGAACATGGAACTTGAACTTTGAAAATACTTTTTCTGTCCATGGCCAGATGTAACTACAATGTCTGGACATGATATGCACATTATTATCAGGCTTGGTGGTCTCATGCATGTTTGGTTTAACAGCTCACTTCCAGGCTTTGGATGGTGTATGTGATACTTTATTAGCATGTAATGACTTTGATCCCATGAACCTAGAAGTTAGAAATAATGTGGTTTTGTTTATTTAATACTAGTGGCATTAGATCCAGTTTTATTTACAGGTTTTAAGAAACTGGGTAACTTTCAAGTAAGATTTTCTTAAATTAGTGAGCTTTTCTCCCTTGCAGTGCCTTGGAAGGTGTAAGTAAAACTTCAAGGAGAATCAAATATTTCTCCTTTCATCACTGACTTAGAGTGCAAATATGTACTACCATGAAAGAAAATTTTTAACACTGACAATTGTATTGATGTTTACAGGAACTGTAAATATGAAGTGTGCTATAGAATCTCCAGTTCATTTCACTTTATTAATGACTGCAACTGTTTTGATGTGATGTCTCTGAAATTAAGATCAGTGTATGGTACTGCCCAGTTGACACATCCAAAATAATTACCATATTTTTGGTGGGAGTTTTATTTATTAAATTCATTCTGTTTTGAGAAACATGTTCTGTGCCATGAACACTTCATGATAAATAAAATTGCATTTAGGAGAATAACACTGAAACATATGACAAAATGTAATAATACTTAAGTAAATCTTTAATATGCAAGTTAACTTGTATAATGGTGTTTCTCTGACCTCTGAAACACTGGCAAACTTCTACCAGACTGCATGGTGCTGCGACCCAGAAGACAGCTGTCTCCATTTTAATTTCAGTTCCAAATTTGGAATGTCTTCCTAAAGAACTAAGCTTCACTTACTAATTTTAGCCATCACCATATTGACCATTGGAATATAATTTCTGTTGAGATTAACTTTCACAATGTATACCTGCTCGTTTAAAATTTGTTTTTAAATGTACCAAAAGTAAACTGAAATGGGCTCATTTGAAATTAGCCACAAGTACAGAGATGATATTCAACACTTAGAATGATATTAACTCCATTTCATGCAAGGTCATGTCTTGGTTTTCAGTGCTTGCGAAGAACTATTGTGTGTTTGTGTTTATGAGTGAAGATGGATATATATATATAGACACACACATACATACATACCTAAAGTATTGGTTTACAAGCCTGTTGGCTATTGAGTATTATATATTTAAACTTAGCTGTCATTGAAGCAATGAGGAACATATTTGTTTCACTTTTGTATATATGGGAATGAAAATTACTCAGAATTTTTGTTGTAATACCCTGTCACTATTGTTATAATAAAATTCTTGTTTTAAATTAATGTCTCACATGCACACTATGTGTTTCTTACGATTAAGTAAATATTTTGCCATGCAGTTATCTTTTGTATAATGAGCCTCCTTTTAAAATTCACTTTATACAGAATTCTTCCCACTCTTTGGATGTTCTTGCAGTTACAATGCATTTATTATATTTAATACAGGATTCTCATGTGTGGAACTTTATTATTACAAATTTTATATGATCAAGAATACAAGTTAATAACTAATAGATTATGGTTTGTGTAATAACTGAACATTAACATTTTATTTAAGTCATTAAGTGATGACGTACAGTCAGTACTCTACACAGTAGATGTGTTCCATAAACTGTGTAAATTCAGACCTAACTTCCTATGTGATGGATGAATTTCACGATGGTAATTATAGGCATTTGTTAATGTAAAATATATGCAATTGTAGTTATGTTTTGTCTTTATCAGTGTCATGCCATTGGCCATCATATGTCCCATTACTGTAATGTAGAAGTTAGAATTAACATGGTGTAAGCGAAGAAATGGTACATATTTTTAAACCACTTTTCACTTAAAATTTGTAGATGAAGATATGGACCTGGATAAATTACTATGTAATGCAGTGTTGGTTGTGCAAATTTTCAGTTCAGTTTTGAAAAGGTGTTTACATTTGTCCTGCACAAATGCATGCCTTTGATATGGAGACACTGTTCCAAATATGATATTTCTGATGTTGATAAGACAGTATTTCTTACCAGTAGAAAGCTATTGCCACATTGGCAGTCAAAGATGGACACTGCAACAGTGACAATGTAAAATTAGTCATTTGAAGCATAAAAGATAATGTATGCAATTAAAAAATTGGATGGGTGTGCATGTTAGTGGTAGTTGGTGAAGAAACTGAAGCACAATTACACAGCATTCTATACCTCATAATGCAAAAGATATGTACTTTATTAATCTGTAATTTTCTTTGAAATGTTTCTTCTTCTATGGCTCTCCGGTCTGTATTCGGTCCATGGCCTCATGGTGCATGTTTACTGAAGTACAAAAGACTCTAATTTATGACTATGTAAAGTGGGTGTTGTAATGGACAAGCTGAATCAAGGAGAACTGCTTGATGAATTTCTTGTAAATCCTTGAAGTGATTTGGGTGATTAAGTGGGTGGATAGACATTTCCTTCCTGTAAGAAACACAGTAGACACAAAATAACTCTGCTTCAGCTGTGTTACTAAAATAGAGGAAGGGAGCAAGATGGCAAAGAGTCTGCTCAGCTTGAAAACATTGAAGATTGCTGTCTTCTGGGTTATTGCACCTTATAGTCTGGTAGATTTCCACCAACGTTTCAGAGGTCATACTGCCTCCATCATCAGTGTGATGAATGTGCCAATCGAGTGGAAAGGGCTAGGTTTATAAGGATCAGACAGTAATTGGAGTAGCTTGATCCTAGCCAATGGGAGCTGGTGTCAAATCAGGTGTGTGTGTGTGTGTGTGGAGACCAATAGGAGTGTGTGGGCATGTCTTGTGGTAATTGAGGGCCTCAGGGAGTCCATCTGTGAGATACCACGCCTTTTTTGATACCAGCTCCCATTGGCTAGGATCAGGATACTCTGGTTACTGTCCAATCCCTATAAACCTAGCCCTTTCTGCTCGATTGGCACATTCATCGCCCTGATGACGAAGACAGTATGCCCTCTGAAACGTTGGTGGAAATCTACCAGACTACATGGCGCAATAACCCAGAATACAGCCATCTTCAGGCTCACCACTGTGAAAACCTCAAATCCTACATGAAAACATTGTTTTCCCCTTCAATTTTGACACAATTGGTGGCATTTTGTTATACTGACTTTTACACTACATTGTATTTTCTGAACCAAAGGAACTTTTAAACAGCGGCAATGCAGGTACATGCCTTTATGAACACCTATTAATTCTACAGCCAAAACGTAATAATTTCACATCCAACTGTATACAAGGAAGGACTGGGTTATGTCTCTGTGGTCTTCCCTTGTTGCAGCCACTGTACAATTATGTTGTGTCATTGTGTTTTTCAAGCTTGATAGATATCCATTTTTCCTTTGTGTACAAAATTCATTGTGACATTGCTGTTGAAGAAGTCCATAATTAATATGAATTTATCCCAGTCAAATGAACTTCATGTGGAATTACAATGTGCTTTAATGAGAAGAATCTAGCATATAGAAGAAAGTGTGACACAGAGGTTCTCTTGAGCAGCTAATAATAATTTAACTTGTTATGAAATCTTAATGTTGTGATATTTTGTGCAGTATTAATGATATTTAACTGCCTAGGAATCTGTGTTCATACTCAGACATGCAGTCAGAATTGCCGCATACAAAAATTAAGGTAAAAGTTCGGTGAAAATGTAAGAAAAGAATTTATTGTAGATTTCAGTGGTGGGTTTTATATAGTACTGTTCCTCTCCAGAGATGACTTTGTTCATTTGACAGGGTTGAATAAATTGCAGTGAAATGTTATTGTTTCTGAAGTAGCTAAGTTTAAAATTGGCTCGTCACAGTGCTTCGGTAGCCATCAGAGTTAGTCTAATGTATAATTTCAGTGATGTAATAATCTTTTATGTTGCTGTTTGTAGTATTTTTATATTGGGCAACTCATATTAGTTTACTTTTGTTAAAATGTACTCATTAATGAAACTCTGTAGTTATAATACATGTATATATTATGGTATAAAGATAGGAGACAGACCTGAGGTTTCATACAATCCAAGATTTTCTCTTTATTGTAAACCAAATTTTATTTAAGATATTAATATTTTATATATATATGTATTAAGTATTGCTCTTTTATTTTGTTTTAAGTGAGCATAGTTTGTAGTATTTTACATTCCATTATTTGTTTGTGATTAGTTCATACATTTTTGAGACCTACTTAAAAGAGACAGTTGAATTTTGGCCTATCACATCAAATTTTTGTGGTCACAAAAACAAAGTTTGAATTAGAAATTTAAGTCTTAGAATCTGTAATAGACATTAACAGTAATATACTCAGAAGTGAAAAAGGTATTGGTGTGTGATAATTTTAGTCAGAAGCAATATGAATTATAGAGAATTGCTAAGTGATATGAACTGTTAAAGTGGATTATAGTGAACTGTTATGTTCAAGTACCTGACTACATCATTTCAGGTTTGTGAGTTTCTTGCAGCTTTGTAAAAAAATGATATTATAAATCTAGGCCTTATTGCAGCCCACTTCAAGTAGCTCTCATGCTATATAGTATTCAAGTACTTGATAAGATAAATTTGCAGTTGGATGCAGATTGAGTCTCACTTCAGCAAACCTTTTTATCAATAAAGGTTACATTTTTCATACTTTGTTCAAAGCCTGAAATCTCCCTTCATCCAGGACCCTAGAATTGTGAAGGACCTGTTCCACCCTATTCCTCAATACACGCTGTATACTAGTGCATTCCTGTGATGCTTGGTTAGAAAGATTTATGATGGTATAAGAGATGGATGGGAGATAGAGAAGTCCAGGGGGTATAGTCTTAGAGAAACTGATTGTATAAACTACTATTAAAATTCCCAGCCCTTTTCAGTACCATGTTCACATGAGCCCACCTCCAGTCCCCATGCTGAGATTTGATCCTAATTGATACCCTTCTGACATCATTTTAATATTATCTTTTAACCTATTCCTGTGTCTTCTGAATGGCATCTTCCCTTTGGGCTCCTCAACCAAAATTTTGTTTGCATTTTTATCTCCCACTTTAGTTACATGCTGCCCATCTCATCTGCCATAATTTCATCTTAATAACTGAAAAAGACTGAAGAAAATTAAGGATGGAAGAAGAAGGACAATAAACCTCTGTATCATCTCCATGCTTGTAATATTTGGAAAACCATGACTCTCCAAATTAAGTCTTTCCTCATAATGTGTGTCTGAAGAGGGCATGTATTTTATGAGGTGATGCTCAAGCAAAATATTTGATTTTGATAATTTCTGCATTGTATAAGTTTAGCTGCTTTCTCTGCAGGCTTTTTCAGCACTTCCAAAACAAATGGAGTAGGTTTTTAAAATACGTTACCACTATTGCATCATTTCCATTTCATCTTTGTTCATCCTCCATTATACAAAATATGCAGCTGAAAAACAGTTTTAAACAACTTCATTCCCCATTACATCTCTGCACAACTATGGATCATTGTAGTACTTGAGAGAAGTTGATAGTTGCTGATCTGGCCAAGAATCTACTACCATTTATAACATGCTTTGCTTCATCATGTTCCTGAGCCAAATAAATCCTATGAACATCCAGTTTCTTTTAATATTGATTTAACAACCTCCCATCTGCACCTAACTTCATGTAACATGTTAAAAACAAAAATTTCCATTGTATCATGCTGGTGGTATCCGTGATATCATGAATTATAAATACACAACATGAAACTGGAAAAGTGTATTTAAATTCCGTTAATCAATGGATATTTAATGTAACCTATAAATACATGGGTATTCATCGGTTTCTTATTGTGTGGACAAATAATTGATCAATCTTTCCATGTGTGGTCATGTCGGAAATCAGTGTTGGGGTGGCCACACACGCTCCGGCTTGCCGTCCGAGTTAAAGACGGAAGGTAAGCCTCAAACCTGAGAGAGTCCACACACACGTACAGACTTCGTGGCAGGTTTGTGCTCAGTCGATGCTACATGTTCAGTAAAGACGATGCGTTTTTAATCGGTCTTGCTGTTACTTTAATGTTGAAACGTTCTAAGTGGATCAGAAGTTGGTTAGATGGAACAAAACATTCTCACATAAATTTGTTGAATGAAATTCGATTAGAGCCGACGGACTGGCATAACTACCTGCGAATGGATGAGGACATATATTTGGAACTGTTAAACTTAGTTAACTACGAGGATTTGAAGTTCTCGGTGGCTGGTTGAGATGACTAAATGTTACAAGCTTTGCCTTTAACCTCGTCTCTGCCCACACACGTTACGACTTGTAAACATTCAGTAAACCTCGAGGCAAGAAATCAGGCGACTGCAGATTTATCGGAAGCTCGGTTTCAGGCAAACCTTCCGGCAAAATTCACCACACACGCTCCGGCTTGCTGTTACGCTATTAACTTGCACTCCACTTCGGGCATATTCCATCAATAACATGAAAATAATTTTTATTTTAGTAATGGTGTGATTAATGTTATGACTGTTTTTATGCATTAAAGATCATAATTAGTAGGCCAGTAAGGCTCAGATAATATACTTTTTTAAAAGGAAAATATTTAGGGCCCTTGAACATAACATCACGCATAAAGACTTTGACTTATGATTCATTCCTAGCCAGCTATCCAGTCTCTTATTTATATTTTTTATTTGAGCTTTTGCCCATGAACTCGAGTACAAGACAAAAATGGGTTTGCGTCTTTGTAAATAACAAAAATTTGTAAACACAGCTTCTCTGATAACACAGAAAATATAAAATCCAACGCACATTAAAAACGAAGGTTTATATCTATTCAGTGCACAGGTTGCCGCATTTCTGTCTCTGCTTATGTAGCCTTTCATCTCTGACGTTAGTTGCCTGGTAACATGTAAACATCATGGAAGAACTAAAAGTATTTTGAAAGTGTGGGAGTTGTCATGCAAATAAAGTATTTAATGTGACGCGTGTAAGGAAAACGAATGTTATGCTTGTTGTAATATATGTCTTGCGTGTGAATAGGATGCATATGCATTTTTTAATCTAATGCTTTTCATGTGAATATAATGTGTTAATTTACCATTACCCTAGTAACAATCGTTAAATGAATTATAAATATATAAAAAAATAAATTCCCTAGTAACAACTTATCCATGTTGTTGTACTGCCTGTTATACTACTGCAGATTGTAGTTTGTGTTTTCAGTAAAGTTTATCCAAAGTTGATGTTATGAGTGCTGCAATATATGTCATGTTGCTCAGACTTCTCCTGCATACTGAATACTGGTTTAAGCATTCTTGTTCTGCTTATGTTTCTCTACATACTCATAATTGTGTACTTCAGCTTTACCATTTGTATACTTAATTTCAAAGAACACTGACACCTATGATCATAAATAAACAATGGATAGGTATGGGCTTCCAACAACTGAAAGCAGATCCCCTGGTAAATGGGGTGAATGGCTTGCAATATTATGTGGCTGCCTAGCTCCTGTGTTTTTTCCTCCCATACACATTGGCATTCTCTATTATTTTTGGGAAGACTTTTCTCGAAGTGTGGACAAGCATTTTTGCTCATGTTCCTGCTGGGATACTGTTTTTAAAGGTGGGTTTTTTGTTGACTGTGCTCTTATTAATATAGAAGTTTAATCTTTGTTATTTGTCATCTTACTGTTAATGCCATTTTATTTTTCAGGGACTTATGAATCAGGTGTAGCATCATATAAACACCTGTACTTCAATGCTACAAAGAATACATTCAAAATATGGATACTAACTGTTGTTAGCATGATAGCTCTTTATGAATGTATACGTCATCTTACACTCCTAACACTCCAATGGCATTTGAGGTTCTCAATGCTAGTTCTGTTCTTGTCATCTGTTTTTGCTCATTACTATTCATGGTGGGCATATGTTAATTACTGGAATGATGATTTTTACTCACAGTGGAACCATCAGCTGTTTTTTACTCTGTCAGAACTTTTCTCAACTACGCTTGTTATGCATCTAGCAAATGCCGATATCCCTGTCACAAACCGCAAAGCTCTGGGCATAATAGGTATAGCATTGATTCATGTCCTTGCTGGAGGATGGGATCAATTTGTTGAAAATGTTGTTAGAGGTGAAGGATATTCACACCAGGTTAGTATGTGATAGAGTACTGTAATACATACTTTCCTTTTATTTGACTAATCATAAATAAGCATAGTCAATGTCAGAACCAGGCTCCACTAATAAGTCAACTACATATCACATTATAGGTAGTGCAAGCCTGTTACCATATCATGTTCAAAATATGATGAACTGTGACCCTGAATAGGGAAGAAAAATCTGTAAACTTATGAAGCTGATTGCCACCACAAAGTGTTCCTTTCAGGAAGGATTAGGAGGGGCTTATGACTTATGTCAATGAAAACTTTACATTAAGTTAAATTATACAAATTTAGTTAACTAAATTCAAATATAATTACTTCACTTTTTCTACATTCCTCTTGAGCTTGGAGAGGGATGGTGGGGAAATCAGTACCATTGATATGACGAAGGGAAATTTTGGCTTTGAGAATTAGTTCATGAAGCTTCAAATATTTACAAACTTCAGTTTTTTGTGCTCAGTAAAAATGTCCCAAGTCAGTACAAATCATTTGACATAAGCCATTGTTCAGTTTTAAGAATATAATATTCTTTAAAGACAAAGTATGATGTATATACCTGCATCATTAATAAATCTGGAATGAAGGAAATTGTATGCTTTATAACTAGGACTGAACTTGTTATTATCTGATCTAATACGGGTTTTTATTTCATGTTCTAAAATGATTGTATTTAATGTCGTTACAAGACATCACAAGTTATGATATGTGACTGCATGTTAAATATAGTGAAATTTGGGAGATTAAATGTTTTGCCTTTGTTATGCAGAAGGTCCTTTAACAGAGGCTGTAGTATATTGTATGTATTTTTTCACACTGCAGCATTATATCGTTGAGTAAAAATATTGCTTTATGTGTGATGCATCAGGTTACAATATGTGCCACTATATTTTCACACAAGCAAGCAACAGTTTCATAATTTGATCATATGCATATAGTTATTTTTATGTTCTGATTTTAAATTTATTTAATGCACAAACTGTATATGCAGTGAACATTGTACAGCACTGATAAATAAGTTAACTTCATTTCTGGTGAAAATGTCCTACAGAAAAGAGCAAAGTGGGTGGGTTTTCATGTGTAATATGCAGTCTGTTGCTAAATAAAGTATTTGACCATCATAAACTACTCCATGAATGAAACTTTCATATCATAGATGAAATAAAGCATGCATTGTAATGGTACAACTAACTCAGCCTTTTGATGTTTAGTTTACTTGGTTACAAAATGGTAGAAGGACCAGTATCATCTAACACCATCTAGCATTAATAACAATTTCAGCAAATATTAGCAATCCCTTATTGACATCATGAGCCAGCATAGCTCAGTCAGTATAGTGATTGGCTATGGACTGGATGACTGGGGTTTGATCCCTGATGGGGACAGGGGATTTTTCCTCTAGTCTCTGCTTCCAGACTGGTTCTGGGGTCCACCAAGCTGATGGTAAACATCAACCAGACTACACAGCGCAACAACCCAGAAGACAGAAATCTTCATACTCACTGCTGTGAAAACCTCAAATCTTACAGTGTAGAAAATGTTTGTATGTTGTGCATAACTAACCTGGTATGTGACTAATCATGGAATGATCCTGTGAAATTGACACTAAAATTTGCTTACTTTCATTACATTTACAGGTACTACGAGATCTGGGATTCATGATTCCAGACCTTCTTCATGTGTGTTTGCCTCTGTATGAATTAAGACGTAATCGCAAACAAAGATCAAGACTTCATTTCACTGAATTCCTTGGCCTTATGATTCTAGTGTCTTTGGGATTCCTGGTATGTTCAGTGCTCTAGCTATCATATTTTAGTGCCAACATTGCCTCATTTTGATTCTGTGTTGAATATCATAAGCTGCTTTGGAGTTATCCATAAGTGATGAATATTTTACAATATTCAGTTTATGGCTAACACCTGTAACTGCTGTGTCTGCCTTACTAGTTAATAATCTGTGTTTGCAAGAAAGTAATTATCTTTAAAAATTATAAACTATATGCATACAAAAGCTGGTATGAAACCTAATGTGATTGCTTGAAGATCTTTAATGATCTGTATGCTAAGTTTAGCATTAACACCAATTACTGTAAATGGTTTTTACATGTTAGTCTTAACTTCAAAAAATATTATTTACTTGTGTGACAGCTTCTACTTTTTAGTTACGTTCAAAATTAAGGTAATCACCACATAACATGCACACTGCATAATCACATTTGGCATTGTATTACAGATTGCAGGTTTAAATATGTCTTAAAGAGATTTGATTATGAAATATATGTTGTGTTTTAAATGATAGATATTTATGTATAGGATTGGAATTTCTTATCTTAACTTCATCTTACTAAGAAAAATGAGTTTAGAATTACTGATGTTATTTTAAATACCTTAATTTATTATTGCCATTTCATACTCCATAACATGGTAAACAGACCATAATTTTAGGAGGTAGAAACTGACAGACTTTGCCATGAATTCCTGTGATGAATGTGTTTGTAATGGTGATACTGTATTTGTTAAATATGTGGCAAAATGTCAATATTTTGAGCAAGGTTATTATTGCAAAAACAATAATGTTGTTAATGAATGTGTAATTAAACCAGGAAATTAAGATATAGTTTTGTGCTGCTGTAGTTAATTATTATCGAGGAGGGTGTGGTGGGTGGGACATGCAGCTTGAATGGGGGAGGGCTATTTATAGGGTATTGGTTAGGAGGCCTGAAGGGAGGAGACCACTGGAAATATCTAGGCATAGGTGTTAGGCTAACATTAAGATGGATCTTAAGAAGATAGGAGTCACTGGAGTGAACTGGATGCAGCTACCTCAGGATAGAGTCTGGTGGCAGGCTGTTGTGAACATGATGATGAACCTTCAGGTTTCATAAAGAAAGTGGGCTGTTCTTTGACAGGCCAAGTATGATGTCGACTTTTCAAATTTATCCTGCACCATAGAGTGAATGAATGAGTAGTTAATATATTTATACATTTCAGAAACCAAGTTTAATTAGACCAATGTTCTTGCTGTGCATTGTTTCTGAAATCATATAAATACCAAATTATGAGAAACATTCTCTGCTGTTCCAAGCCAGATAGTTGATTGCGATATAAGTAACAATCCCACTAGCTGTTGTCCTTTTAACTCAATGAGAGAAAAGAACAATTATGTTATTTTGTAGCTGTTGCTTTTATAAATGTAAGTACTATGAAATGTCAAGTCATATGCATTGAAATGCTTTAGAGCTATCATAATTGTAACTTGCAGATGACGTGTGTGTAGGGTTTCTTTATAAAAGCATTCTTTGTGGAGGTGTAGCTAAAACATTGAATTGTAGGCAAAATAAAGTGGAAAGTCATTATAAAATTATGATTGTTTCTCAGTGATACCATCAAGTATAATTTAGCCATAACATTGGCTGTCATTTAGGATTTTAGGTTCCCAAGGCAGTGGCTGTCCTCTGGATTGTAGCGCCATGTAGTTTGGTAGAAATTTGCTAATGTTTCAGAATTTTCTTGCTGCCTCCATCATCAGGGCCATGACATGGCACTACAACCCAGAAGGCAGCCATATTCTTAGCTATCATATGTTTTATTACTAACAGACAGTTATAAAATGTCATGTAAATGGGCATTCCCATATTTTCATATTTTAAAGAATTGTGGGTCAAGGAGGCTAAATGTAAATTAATTTTTAACTACCAAAGAAAAGTGTGTAGTAGCAGTTATTGAAGTGGCATTCAGCAGTACAAATTTATCATAATGCAACATGGTTTAACATAATTTAATACTTCTTATTATATAATAATCACAAATGTTGTTCTTAATTAAAAATAGTCACAGTATATACTTCAGTTGTTTGAAGAACTGGAATTGTCTTGCCATTTTGCCATAGGCAAACTGTAATGAAAGTTTATTAGAGCATTCCTGGATGTTTTCTTTACACAACTGAAGTGCTTTAGTTCTTATTTTCCAATTTCTAACAATGTGGTAGCGAACCTGAAGTAGTACCAATGATCATGAGCAGTTTCATTGTGCTGAATGAATACCTTATGATTAGCTTCTAAAGAAATATGTGCTGACCTGCAATGTTCCAGTCGGTGATTTAAAGTGCTCTTCCACATGTAACATGACTGAATATTTAGGGTTTATTAAAAACCAATGCTTAACATACAAGTAAACACTGTGTTAAAATAATTATTAAAATCAGACACAGTGAGCAGAGCAGGTGTGAATTCCATAGCATGAATGTTTGTGTGTAATGTTCATCACTAGACATCACCATCTTGTCCTTACCCATTCTGGTAGGTTGAGATGACTCTCAGAATTGAGCAACCTCAGGATATTTGTTAAAATTCTTTGGGGAAAGAATGTAAACATTTCTGAATATTTTGGTACTTTAACACAATTTTTGCTCTTTCAAGAGACTCATTTTCTGGAATCCTCTAATTAATCTAGCTACTTATGTTTTATTTTCTTTGTGATGAATGCTATCGTGTAATGTATTTGTTTTTGGACAGTCTGAGGAATTTTTTTTGAAAAACCTTGTTTTAAAATAAGGTTGGTTAAAATGATGTATACTACAGTACCAAATCATACTACATTGTACTCTGAATTTCACTTTCATATCATAATGAGCAACATGTTGTGCTTGCAATGCCAACTTCACAGCTGAGCCCAGTGAATATTCACAGTGTGTATATGATTATGATGATGACTTGGGTTTAAGAACCCAAGTTACCATCATAAATGTTGAGATGTTTTGTGTTATAGCTGTAAAGAAGACAGATAACTTCAATTTTTTTGTCAGTTTACATACTTATATTACTAGATTAAATAAAGGTGAGCAGAATATTTAATAATAAAAATTAATCTTGCCCTCTTAAATCAACTGGATACAAATTATAATTTTTTCTCCTGTAATTTATAATCATAAGTTGATATGATCAGAATATGTCTAGTACGGTACGCTTCTTTCAGGACACAATTTGATTATGTGATCTTTGGCACTACCGGAAATATATTTGCTTGTAGGGCACTGTTTAGTTTGAAGAACAGAAAGAAGTCCCTTGGTGCTAAATCCAGCAAATACAGTGGTTGATAAAAAGAAATGAATGTTATGCTTGGTGACAGCTTTTGTGTGGGGGATCTAAGAAATAGCAGAACTGTTTGAACAAGGAGGGAATACTTTGAAGGGATTGCTCCCAAAAATAAGTACTGGAACTTTTAGGTCAAACCTCATAGTCTGTTAGTCAGGATTTTCATCACTCAGGGCTGTTAACATAAAGCCAAGTTTTCACTGCAGCTGTTCAAGATCAGAATGTGTACAGTATCTGCCATCAACTATAAATGTAATTTTGATCAATTTTTTGTTAAGCTTTCCTTTTGTATAGAACCTTCAACATAATTAAACAATTGTAAATTCTATATTCCTCAACACAGTGTGAAATATTAGTATGCAGTATTATTTTGGTAACTTTTAAGATTAGAAAGTTGACATTGAGACTACCGTCTTACGAGTCATGATTTGGTTAGTGGCTTAATTGGAATCTTAAATTGAAGCAGAGCCAAAAGTATTAGCAGGAGAATTGTATTACTGCTAGTAATCATTTAAATGCAATATAAATATGCTAGTTAGTTTTAAGTTCAGTTGTCTGCATATGAATTTTGTTCATAAAATGTAAACAAATTTAAAGTGGATTTGTAACACTGTGTTTGTTACAAGCAACACAATTACCATGCAACTTGCTTATGTTTAAGCTATTGCAATTAGTTAAGTGTCCATTGTTTTGGTAATTGATTGTTTGCAAAAGGATAAGTTGTCTGGGTTTACTGTCTCTGTGTGAATATGTATGTGTGCGCACGAGCATGCACGCACACATGTGAGAGAGAGAGCGTGTGTGCATATGCCCGCACATGCACACATTTCTCCCATAGCCTTGACAAATTGCTGATTTACATGAAACTTGGTAGAAAGGTCATACGATTAGAGGAGGACTCTTGATGATAACATGGCAGCCATATAAACTTTTGAAGGTTATATCGACTTTTGCACTATTCAGCTTTAGATCCTCAACATTTATAAGAATATAAATCATGGAGATTCTAAAACATAGAGTTTGCAGGTCATTCTTGTCAAAAATGGATAATAATAGCATGGAGAATGCCCAAAAATTTATGATTTCATGTTGTTAACTGATGAAGAATTGTAGACATTCAATGTTATGAGGTGATGGATTATAAAGATATCTGCAAATGTAGTTTAATAATATTTTGAAGTTATGTACCATTCAGAATTTATTTAGTGTGTTCAAACTACATTGTTTCTTTAGGTGTCCCTTTTATCATCTGCATATGTTAGAACTGTTCTTAGTACATAAATGCAGATTGTCAATTGGTGTATTATTAATATAACAGGTTAAATAAGTAATATATTTTTATATGAATTTATGTACTAAGCAGACAGATTCTGTCAGTACATATGTGTCTTATATGCAAGCTTCATCTTTTAAAAACCAATCCATCATAAAACTTAATCTATGACTTCTACAAAATATAACATTACACATTATAATACTGAAATCAATACAGCGTCTCTAAACACAGAAGAAATGATTTTTATTGGTAATTTTTTGTGCTGAAGATGACTGTCTTCTGGGTTGCTGCAGGATGTAGTCTGGTAGGAGTTTACCAACATTTCATGTGCTTGCTGCCTCCATCATCAGGGTGTTGAGTGACTGATGATAGAGGCAGGAAGCACCTCTGAAACATTTGTAAACTGCTACCAGACTACAAAGCAGAACATCCCAGAAGACAGTTATCTTCGTACTTGCCACTGTGAAAATTTGAAACCTCACCAAGTAATTTTCATATTTCCATTTATTCACACAAGAGCTACATGAGATTTGAAATTTTCATAGTGGTGAAAATGTGGACTTTTGTCTTCTGGATTGTGATGCTATATAATCTTGTAGATGTTACCACCTAGATTCAATTATTACAATACTATGTGGTATATCAACTCAGCAGACTACAGTTTACAAAGAAGAATTAGATTGTTTGCTGATAAAGTAATAGACCATTTCATTTCTGTAGTTTTTAAAAATTATGGTGATATATAGTGTTTATTATTTTGTATATGAAGAAATTTGTGTATTGCTTAATATTGATTTTCTGTTTTCTTGAAGAAAGCACCTGTAGGATATAATGTTTTCAGTTCAAACTTTTACTGTTTCCCCAGGAAATTCCTTGTATTTTAAGGTAGCAAAGAATTTTCCCCTTGTTTGAAAGTGTTTTCCAATATCATTTTCCACTGAACATCAATATTTCAATTTAATTTCCAATACATGCCATTTAGTGTGATTTTAAACATATACTGACAATTCAGTAGACTGTTAGATGTAATATACTATTAGTATTATTTTATAATTATTTAATAGTCACTGACTTCCTGTCCACATACCAATTAAATGCTATTAATATGTCAATTAATTGTTATGTATTAATGTTATATTTTTGTGTACATTTTTTCCCAAGGCAGGTGTAACAAATCATATTATAGTAGTGTTTTATGGTTTCTTGAGTGGAGTTACCATTTTTATATATATGACCTTTTCTTCTATCAGATGCTACAAGTACACCAGCAATATTGCATTGAATGTATCGTCAGCTGTTATATCTGAGATGTTATTTGTTAATGAATTTTTATTTTCATAATTTTTTACCTGTAAACCTTGTTTCCATACTTGGCAGAATTATGGCTGAAGGTGGCAAATTGTTTGATTTTCCTGATTATTTGTTTGAGATATTCTGGGAAGGAATCAGTGAATCAAACTGTATTTTGAAGAAACTATGTACATTTAATTTTATTTTGTGCCGTTTTGTGTAAATACTCTACAGCCAGATCTCTGTTTTCACTTCATCCCGGAGTTCACAAGATATAACTGTTGAATCATATTTTAATATGTTTCATTTAAGTGAAAGATATGAACAGTAAATACAGAGTATACTTAAATTAAAATTAAAAGTACAGGATCTGCTCATTTCATTATGGTATGGCAGCCATTTGAGATAGTGTTTAACTGATGTTCAAGGCTTTCTCAACAGAAGTTGGGAAACTTCATTACATTTCCTAAACAGGTTCCTCATAACTCAATGAGTTTGAAATTGAAATGATACCTTGCTAGGGAGTATCAAAAATAATGTGACCCATTCAACAAGATAATGTTTAAACTTTGTAGCATGAGCTTCTGGACAACAATGGAAATGTGATTTCAGATCAGCAGTTTCACGTAACTGAGGACAATATTAGTCATTCATCCTATATTTCTGGTAATAGGAGTCCAATAACTGCAGTGTGGTAATTTATTAATGTTACAGTTATCAGCTGAAATTAAATATAAACATTTTATTACATTTTTGAAAGTATGGTCTGTGGTCAATGTTGGAAGACAATGTTGTGCAACAATGATCTGGGATTGCATTTATGCAATAAAGACCTAAGATGCAGCAGTAAACTTGGATCATGTCAATGCAATAAGGACCCATGTGACATGCCATTAATAACACCTTTGGAACGTCAGTTTACTCAAAAGAGTACACCTTTTAAGTGTTATTTTGTAAGCTCATTTCACAAGAAAATTCTTATTAGCACTGCTATCTTCAACCATATTTTTAGAGTGAGGCATTCTGATAGTTCAGTATTGTGAATTCTAACTGAAAATAATATTTTATCACATTGATCAGCTCCTCTAACTGAAGGAATATGTGTGTTTGTAGGTATAATGTATTGAAAGAATACTTGAACAAAATTTGGACACCTCACTGAGATAAATGTATTATTATTCAAATTATTTTCAGGATATCTGTGAAACCGAAAACAAACGACAGGGCAGGGCCTTTCTGGTGACAGTTCTCTTCCATACCATGTAGTTTCTTTTTTACATCCAAATTCTGTATTCTCACATTTTCATATTACCAGAAGCCCATGCAATTTATTCTCATGTTTTGTTCCTTTCCCAGAAAGAGAATGCAGCTTCAGATTATATAATGGAATGATTTATGTTAACATTTTTATTTGTTTGTTTATTTATTCATTTACAACAAAGGCAATGTATATTATGTTTATTTTATATGATTTTACATCTGCATCTTGTAATTGTTTAACCTACATTAACACTGACAGCTTTTGTTCACATTCATAATGGTTGGTGTTAATGTGGGTTCAACAATATTGTTTATACTTTACTTTTTATGACGAAGACAGTACATATTGTGCTTACTAAGTTCCTTCAGACAATACGTGACTAGTATTAAAATATATACTTATGTTGAAGTATTTTCTCAAATTACATTCATTGTACCAGCTTCTATGATGTTACACATTTACTTGTAAAGGTCATGTTACCAAAGACACTTTATGGGAGTCTGATACACTGCTACGCATTCTGTGTAAAAGAAAAGGTGAATTTCTTCTCAGGACTGTTAATATATACAGAGTGCTGGAAAAATGTACAAACAATACATAGATCTGTATTAAATATTACATAAGAAAAATAGAAGATTTTACAGCTTTATGCCATGGTAAATTTGATATGGCAATTGTTCTTATTAAAACATCTCGTTTTTATTAAGATGTAGATTATTTCACATATTTTTTGCATCAAGTTTTAAAATACCTTTAAATAAATAGAACACTGTTATAGATGCATTATGATGTTGGTGGAATATATTAAACCTACATACAATTTATTGCAGATATTACTCTGAACTGGGCATTTGAAGTGGGGAGGAAGAGGCAAGACTCTGTCCTGTTTCTTTCATGTGAATGGTATGGTTGTTGGCTTTTTGCCTTCCATTTGAACCACTGTTTTTTAAACCCATCAGAACCATATAATTTTTCATTTCCCACTTTAACATCAATTTTATTGTGACAGACTGCACCTGCTACAGATGCCTATTGGTTAGGGATTGTACAAACCTCTGGCCATCCATACTGACTTCCGCTCTGCCTTGGGAAGGACCCTGTGAAGTCTGTGGTTATCCTCTCAATCTGAACTCTGACATTTTACTGGTATATCAGGCCCCATCTCGTGATTCGAGGATCTTCACTTAAAACAGGTGTCACACAGTTGGCACTGCCTGTCAATGTCACTGCTTCAGTGTAGCTGGTACTACTGCTCTCTGACCTTGTCTAGAGTCTTGTTGACACCAAGATGTCATAATTGATTTCTGTCAGTACTTCTCTCATCTTGTTTTGTGGAACTATCATTTGAATTGTCTTGATTTTTCCGTCAGCCAGCTGACACCCAGTGATACTATAGCATGCTGTCCCTTACTGCTAGGGAGTTCCATCGGGTTCAGTAATATTGAAAATGGAACTGCAGTTAGGACATTGTTTACCTCCAATTATTTTGGTAATTGCCCCACGTCATTGTCATCCAGTCGTTTCCACCTTAGAATGGCACAGATGATGTGTGTCTTCAGATTACCTGCCTGTTGTTCTTCCAAATTTTCGTTTTTGCCCTCCAGTGTTGGAAAAGTGGCCTTGGTCTTTATCCCCTGGACAGTCTCACATTCTACCAACTGTGCCTTCAGTTCCTTGTTCTGCCTTTACAACAGCATTCTCTCTATCTCCAGTTTCCATGTTGCTGATCTTTCAGATGCCAAATCTGTTGTAAGTTACTTTCTGGGTTGCTCTGCCCCTCAAACTTTTCCTACAGAGGTGCAATACTAGCCTCCAATTGTCGTTTCTCATCAAGCATAAGTGTGTTGGCGTCTCTCCCTTCACGCTGGCTCTACCGACAAATCAGATATTTATTATTTATGTGTGGCTTGTGTAACGATGCTTCTTATAGCTCAGACTATATAGCGTCGTATGATTGATGATTAATGAATATTGAATTGAAAGGCACAGTAGGTGGGGTCAAGCCACAAACCTATATCGGGCCCACCCAACCTGTAGCTCGCGGGCAACATGTTGCCCGCAGAGGCATTTGAAATAAAAAAAGTCTCTTAACCTTTCCCTGGCAACGGTGCCATAGAACGCCGAAGCAGTTCCACCCGTTTCCTTGCAAACTATGAAAGAAATGTTACTGCCAATTCCATATTCCTAAGTGACCCTATCAAATTATTATTGTTAGCAGTTGTTCTTAAAATGGTTGTCGACGTGTATTGTTACTGGGATGTTTTCTAGTTAATGACTTGCAGATGATCAGGCACCAGCAGTGACTTCTTTCTGATATTTTCATTGCCGGTCTTATTGTGCGAAAGATCACACCCAAATTGAAAACTATGCAATGGTGGAGACAATCCTTAGCTTTTAGTGTTTTAGGGTTTACGAAATATGGGCCTCACCTCTTCAACTGCAGGGTTTGCAGTGTAGGTCCGACCTGCTCTGATTCTTAGTACGCCTGTACGTTTCTAGGCGAATGTTTGTGGTTTTCATGTTAGATACAAAATTTTTTGTGGGAGGAAAAGAAGCATGATTCTCAGTGCAGTGGTTATGAGCTTTTTATTTATGGAGACATACATTAAATTACTAATTTATTTTGTAAAAGTGTACTAAAAACAAACAGACCCTAGCCTAGGTTGTGAATTGAATTCTTTTTTACAAATTTTTCACATTATTATCAGCATATTTTATTGTACGTTAATGTATAGAAAATAAGCAGATAAAAGTATATAATTGTACGTATACTTATGCATTCCACATTTTATGTTTCGAACTTCATGTTGCCCGCATACAGACCAAATTTTGCCTGACCTATATCATTGTTTGCGGATACAATGATATCAAACGCATATGCCACATTAACAAGAAACGTTGCCTGAGACAGCGAGCTACTTAGTATTGCCGATGGGAAATAACATTAATAGATGGTATACGCTTCTTTATCTGCTACACCTCCTACCCCTCTGATCCCCTTGCAAATTATTTGTACCGGATATTGGAAATCACGTGATTTGCAACATTTCCTTCTTTGTATTTTGACAAATAAAAGAGTTCTCCTATGGCTTATGACTCGTGGGACACTCTGTATACTGTGCAAGAGTGTTTAAAACAATGAATCATGCTGGAAGCAAGAAATGTAGGACAAAATCAGTTGCCTGTAAATAAAGGGAGTCATTAAGAAGATGAAATGTCTTCTGGGATATTGCGCCGCGGGCTTTCGTAGAAACTTTCAGACGTTTCAGTAATCGCCCTGATGATGAAGGTAGTAAGCACCTGTGAAACGTCGGTCAGTCTCTATAAGAGTGCGTGACGTAGCATTCAAGAACACGAGACATATTCGTATTCGCTGTCATGAGAACCTGAAATCTCACACGTTAGTAGATGCTAGGTGCTAAAGATCACTCTGAGCATTGGAATTTCTGAAAGGATTTTGGTCACTTTTTGTCATTCGGTATGATTTCTTGGATATAATGCTCGTCCTTTGGCCTCTTTGCGTGCATAGGACAACAAAACATAGAGAGGGACACGTACGCATTCTTCGAGTGTGATTTAAACCCACGGTTCCGATGTTCAAGCGGCCAACACTCGTACCTTAAATTGAAGTGGATTACGACTAAATTTAATAAATGAAAGTTTAAAGTAATATTTCTTTAATTATACTGTGGTTTACGTCAGTCAATTTCTGCTTCATACGAAATTGATTAAAATGTGTGTATTCTCAAAAACTGCCCATGGAATAACGGTATATATCTTTTGTTTAACTGGACATATCTGACTACTGACCCATCTGAAGTCGTTGTCAGTGTCTTCGTCACTGAGACGTGGCTGAAGATGTTAGTGACATTTTGCCTTTTATCTTTTGCGGTAAAGAGCTCTGCTCGCCAGGTGCATGACCATTTAACATTCGTATATAATACTGACAAGATTTAAACAAATATATAAAGTAAATTCTGTTTCCGAAAGGAAGAAAAATGATTAATCTTTCAGTAATATTTGACTGGGATTAAACCTCATTCGGAAGAGGTACCATTTAAATTAGTTATGTATATTGCACTTCAGTCCACCTTGTTCGTTACAGGGTTGAATCATTTTTTCTGCACGATTCAGTCTAGAAACAACGGGTACAATGTATTTTATTAAATCAGTTACCTCAGCAACCAACATATGATTATTCTAGAGCAAATGTGTGTATTCAGGTTATGCTGAAACTTGCTACGGAGTCGTTTAGTGGCGCCAAGCTGGCTGGCTGCTGGCCTTAGCGAGGGTTACAGGTGGCTGCATGTGCGCAATCGCTTGCGAACAATCGATTAATGTCTGGCACATGCAAGCAATTCTGGATTCGACCTCCATACTTGGGGTGTGGGTTCGTATATGTATATATATGTTCATATACATATATATATACATAATCGGACCATCCAAGATGGCGCTAGATTTCGCAGCGACGTATAAAGTTCTTGTTCTTGGCGATTCAAATGTTGGGAAAACTTGCATTGTACATCGATACTGTGACGAGAGATATTACGATACGTACATCTCGACAATTGGTGAGTGACGACATGTGTATTATTGCATGCCGTTACACTATTGAATCCTTTTGTTGGAATCCCTGACCTTCCATGCATTGAGTTAGAATTTTCAATTTAATATAGCTGACCTTCACAAACCTTCGACGTTATGTCATAATCAATAATTTCAGAAGTTTATGTTGCCACTTCTTTGCATTTATTATAATTATTATTTTCCTCGTAGCTCTTTGAAAGTTTAAATTAAAGTAAAATTAAATTGGTTCTGTTTCGTATTTGTCTCTTATCCTTGATTAAAAAAGTCTTAAAAAGTGCGTCCATAACAAATTGCATTCATAACAGGATATACTGGGTCTATTATCACAGTGAAGAAGTAATTTATATTAATGAGTTGTGACTACAATTGTATAAAAAACCACGAATAACGGAACAAAATTGCTTTTATTATGTTATGAACAATAAACATATGTAATATAATAATTCAATTAATTTATTTAATATATAATAATTTCAACTCCTCCACATAGCATTCATTAACTATGTGTTATCATCCTAATTATATCAATTCCAGGATTTAATACCTTGTTTGCTTGTAATTATTTTGCAAGTTTTCTGCTCCTATCAACCTACATACTTAATTCAATTTAATAATTATTATTACAAAGATATTGTTATATTCAGCAGCAAGTTGCCGTTGTGTAATAAGTTTCTCTGTACTCGTGCAATGTCTTGATAATCTGTTTCTTGTTATTTTGCTATATTTAGTATTGTGTTCTCTTGATCTGTATCTATAATTGACCTGATTGTTGATACAGCGTACTAATAATATAGAATTCAATTCAATACTGATAGAAATTACCACAAGTTGTTTACGGGCTGAATTTTGGCTCCCGGCAGAAATACAGTTAGTATGTAACCGATTCTGTTTGTTATAAGTAACAAGAAAGCCGACCGGAGTGCCAGACTGATATTTACCATCGTCTAGAACAAAGATCTGAGAAAGCATTAGTTCCGTAAAGAAGATACTGACAAAGAGAGTCCTTTAGAAGCTAAGATTCGCGTAGCTAAGCAATAAAGTCTTCTCCTTATACATGGAACTAAAATGTTCATTGCCGTGATGGCTGTCATCTGGTTTGTGGTGTGGCAGGTGTGTACCGTTTCAGGGGTCCTTGCTTCTCCAATATCAAACTGGTTCCGCGTGCTCGTCTTACCACCCTGATGATAAAGGCGACAAGGACCTCTAAAACGTCGATAAACTTCTGGCAGATTACACGGTTCTACCGCCCAGAAGACAAGACATCTTCGGACCCACCACCATCCTACTTGTTCATTGCCGTGTCCACAAGAGGTCATCACTGGACCCTATCCTGAGCCAGATAAATCCATTCCATATCCTCCTGTCCTCTTAGTTTAAGACCGTTTTAATACTGCCTTCCAATCGACGCCGATTTCTTCCAAGCGATATCTTTTTCCAGGTTTCTCAACCAAAGTTTTCTATGCATTTCTTTTTTCATGCGTACTATATTATGAAGAGCCGCGGTGGTCTAGCGGTTAGAACGCTGGCCTTGTAATCCTGGGGTCTCGGGTTCGATTCCCGGCGGTGCACGAATTTATTACTTGTGTTGGGCAAGGCCGTGGAGTTTTCCTCCGGGGACTTCCCCGGTTTCTCCGTGGCATCCCAACAATTACTCCATTCACTCACAGAAGAAGGCAATGGCAAACCACTTGTGGATCATCTGCCAAGAACGTATATGAACAGGTCCCAGTCCGAGAAAAGGATGGAAGGATCCTGTTCATATGGACCTGTCGTCACACAGAACACTAAATAAAAATAAATAATAAATATATTATGATAATAGACTAATAATATTACATATTTCACGGAACGCTGAGGCTGAATGGTTAGCACTCCTTCGTATTCAGGAGGTCCAAGATTCAAATCTCAACTATTCTGACAGATGTATTTCGTGGTTTTCCTCAGTCCCTGCAAAGTAAGGATGATACTGTGCCTCGAATGAAACCACGACTGCATTCTTTCCAAATCATTCAGCTTTACATAGTGTGAGCTACTGTTAATACAGGTTTTTAACTTAGCAGAATGTATAACGCAGATGTATTGCACGGTCTTAGGTCTATGTGGAAAGTTGGATGTTTTATTGGGCACTACGCAGGGCCTGTCTATGGAAGGCATTGCTCATTGAGGTGCTGCTGGTGTTTGTACGACTGTGTATTGATTTCCTAACCATAGAATCGCACTGTTTTCTTTCCAGGTATTGATTTCAAACAGAAAATTATTAACTTAGATGGGACGCCTATAAAATTACAAATATGGTAAGTAAGACGCAGATCCGTGGTTTAATTAATATTTATTCATAAAATAAATTGGTGTGCCTTTATAAGAAATCTACATAACAAGCAACCAACCAAGAGTGCAGATAGAAATGAATTAGAAGAATTTTCGACATTGGAATTTGTCTATGTGGAAATTGCAGAATATAATCTTGTGCAATAAGTTTTACTTCAGTTGATGATTGAAAAACTTAGGGAGTTCAGTTTAAGGACACGTATGACCTTTGTTTATTTATTTATTTATTTCGATACAACAATTTTAAAGTCTACAGAAACCAGGGGCGCTCGTGACGAGTAGATAAAGTAACGAATCGACTAATTACAGTAATTCGTACATTTTATAAAATATGTTTTAGATCAGTGGTATTCAACCTTTTTTGTTCGGGTACCCCCAGATATAATTTCTCTTCAACTTTGTACCCCCAAAGTTGTTGGTGTATAATTCAAGTTATACGTAGTATATAATCCACATCTAAAATAAATTAAATAAATTACATTACTCATTATTCAGTGTTTATCATAAAATAATATATATTTTTTTAAATTTCACTTACCCCCGGGGGTACGCGTACCCCAGGTTGAATATCACTGTATTAGATAACCATGCAACAAAGATATTGTGTTCAGAATGGAAATGATAAAAAACACCACTGAAAAAATTATAAATTACAACAGAGAAATGGGAGTAAATAAACTGGGTGTTGAAACCAGATTTGGTCCAGAAATTTGCAAGAATTAGAGCTTAAAAGTCTTTAGCACGATTTATGTTGACAACGCAAACGAGATAAACGCAGAATCAGGAAAGCATGAAAAAGAGAATGGCAGACTACAGGTCATGCCTTTGAACTACAAAACGAAAAATGTAGACATAACGAAAATGTTAAATACACATGCAATCACGAAATTTATAGAAAACTTCAGAGATAAATGGAGAAATCTTGTCCTCCTACGGCCTCCTCAAGAATTCCATTCAAAATTCTCCGCTACTAACCAAATGGACAAAGATTTTGGAGCGATTCTACAAACGCTGGCATGAGACAATAGCAGGCAGATTGGCCTAAGAAGTGGAAGGCTGATGTCGATGAAAATGTAGACAATTTCAAAACTTCAAAGTCAAATTTATTGTTTCAGTATAATAGCACGAGTGTGGATTTGCACAGCTGAAGAAAGTTTCTCTCATTTTTATTATCTTAATTGAAATGGTGTGGCCGAATATTTGCAGTATGCGTTTCTTGTGTATCATGTATTATTGCTTCCTGTGGTGTTTTGCTTTGATACCGAATAGATAACCTTATTTCCATAAGACGGTCTGATTTTTTGTTTAATTAAATGTTGATTCTTCGTAGTAAATACTGCGATTTCTTTTAGGGATACCGCGGGCCAGGAGAGGTTCAGAACGCTGACGACTGCTTATTACAGGGGAGCAATGGGGATCCTCCTCATGTACGACGTCACAAGTCTAGAGTCCTTCAACCACTTGTCGTATTGGCTTCGAAATATTCAGGAGGTGCGTACCAGAAATATGTACACAAACGCTCGCCATTGAACTCCTTGCAGATTTATTTAATTCATATTCTCACACGCAATCCATTATTTACTATTCTGTACAGTAAAAATGCCATCACGCTGATTGAGGTTATGTTACTAGAGATAATACTACGATAATATGTTACAAAATTCTGCTAGTAGATGGCTCTGACAAGAACATAGTAAAAACGATGGTCTACACAATTCGTCATAACAAAATTAAATATAAAATTTGTGTCTCTGCAGCCACGTGCTGAGCCTTTTATGACAAATTTGACTGAAAAAATTGGCTACAAAACATTACTTTTGCAATAGCTTCGTTTAAATTGAGAGGAGATGATTGTAATGGAGGTTATTCGGTAGTCGGTGATGCTTTATCAACGTGGACTGCAGATAAACCACGGAAATGTGATAGGTCAGACAGTAATTGCCCAGGAAATGGAAATAAATCCCTATGCATACAAAAGGAGCCACGGTGGTCTAGCGGTAGGAACGCTGGCCTTGTAATCCTGGGGTCTCGGGTTCGATTCCCGGCGGTGCCCGAATTTATAACTTGTGTTGGGCAAGGCCGTGGTCTAGGCAACACGGAGTTTTCCTCCGGGGGCTTCCCCGGTTTCTCCGTGGCATCCCAACAATTACTCCATTCACACACAGAAGAAGGCAATGGCAAACCACTGGTGGTCTAGCGGTTAGAATGCTGGCCTTGTAATCCTGGGGTCTCGGGTTCGATTCCCGGCTGTGCCCGAATTTATAACTTGTGTTGGACAAGGCCGTGGTCTAGGGAACGCGGAGTTTTCCTCCGTGGCATCCCAATAATTACTCCATTCACACACAGAAGAAGGCAATGGCAAACCACTTCTGGATCATCTGCCAAGAACGTATATGAACAGGTCCCAGTCCGAGAAAAGGATGGAAGGATCCTGTTCATATGGACGTGGACCTGTCGTCAGACAGAACACTAAATAAATAAATAAATAAAATGCATACAAAAATTAAAAAAATATACAAGTTAACGGAACCACTGGCTTTCAGTATTTAAAGATTAAAGTTGTTCTTATAGCGTCTGACGACCACCGAAAATATAAACTACGAGAAGCCAAGTTTCGTTACCGCCACAATATTCATCCTCTCTGTAATTCACAGTCGCTTTAATCTTAGACATTTCTCATAGTCTTTCTTATCCCAAATTGTGAACGCACAAATATTTCGTTTTTTATCATTTCTTAATGTGCTGCTGTGTGTTACACGTATTCTTTGCTGTGAATTTGTGCAGAATGCGTCTCCCGATGTCGTAAAGGTGCTGGCAGGAAACAAATGCGACGCCACGACTCAGCGAGCTGTGTACAAGGAGCGAGGAGAGAAGGTTAGAATTCTGTAATTTCCAACATTGACACTGCAAGAGCGCTGGCATTTGCTGATGATGTCAATTTATTGGGGGACGACGTAAATAAAATAAAGAGGAATGCAGAAGTTTTACTAGAGGCTAGTAGACAGGTGGGCAGAATTATCTTAGGACAGCTAATAAGTCCTTCGAAAGGGTTACAAAGTTCAAATATTTGGAAACAACAATAACAAATGAAAATGACACTCATGAGGAAGTTAGGCGGAGACTAAATTCTGGAAATGCTTGCTTAATTTTGCCTGTTGTTTTGTATGGGTGCGAAACATGGTCTCTCACTCAGAGGAAGGAACACAGATTGCAGGTGTTTGAGAATCGGGTGTTGAGGAGGATATTTGGGCCTAAGAGGGAAGACGATGGGGCGTGGAGAAAACTGCACAATGACGAGCTTAAAAATCTGTACTGTTTCCTCAGTATTGTGAGGGTGATTAAGTCAAGAAGAGACCACTGGGGAGACCTAGACGTAGATGGCAGTATAATATCAAGTGGGATCTGTGGGAGATAGGAGTTGAAGGAGACTGGATTTTGTTGGCCCAGGACAGGGTCCGGTGGACGGCTTTGGTTAATTCGGTGATGATCCTTCGGGTTCCGTAAGCCATCCAGTTAGTTAGACACTGAAAGAGCTAGGCCTGCTACGAGTATATTCCGTCTTTAGACCAGTGTTGCATTTTCGCACTTTGTAGTTAGAAAAGGCAATATCTTATCTGTTATAATTAGAATTCTTTTTACAAACACACACATACGTACACCGGTTCTTCGTCTTGTTTTTGTATTCGAAATAATGATTGCCAAATACCAGGGCAGCTTTCAAAAGGCCGCGATAAAGTAAAGTTACCTGTGACGTCATGGTTACCTCAGTGAGTAATAGCAATGCAGAAGTGGAGAGCATTTTGTGTCTTTCCTTCATGACTCAATGGCCAAAGTTTGTAACAAGATTGTTTTGTTATTCTAACCCAACTGCAATCAGTACTGACAGATTTTTGGACTTTGGAATACTAATTATGTTTCGGGAACAGAATTTGCTTACTTCTTCAGGTGAAGTGTAACTACTTAGTAGGGTTCATTAGAGAGGGTTAATTACAATCAGCGGACAACCGAAGTTCAAAATAATAAGAATTGTCTTGATTAGTAAACAAATTAATGTTTCAGTTGAATGACTCATATGCCTGCTTCGTATTCGGGAGAATCCAGGTTCGAAACTCAGTCCGGAAGCCCATACTTCTTTTAGTCTTTTCGAGAAAATTCTGGAATAATAAGCGTGCCTTAAAATAGGCCACGGTAACTTCCACTTGTTCCTCATTTGACCGGACACAATCAATGACATTTGTGTCTGTATGACTCAGTTACCCTCTTCAGAGCCTAGTTTTAGACAACGGGTTGTGTGACCTTGAAGGTGAGGTTGGCGTTCAAGTACGGGAGACCTTGTCATACGTGTTCTACTATTAACGTCCACAAAACCGTGGGAAATGATACGATATTCTCGTATTCCTTTTACAGCTGGCCGATAATTTCGACATGGCGTTCTTCGAAGTTTCTTGCAAAGAAAACATTAATATAGAAGAGGCTTTCCTAACACTGGCACGAAAAATACGTGAGCAGAGGAACAGAAGGGTGAGTATAGTGATACTTAGAGCCCCCCCCCCACCTCCCCTCACAATTTAGAGTTCGGATGAACTACAGTTCTTATATGAATTGCCCCAGCAGCGTCTGTAGATGACGTTACAAAAATATCAGATTTTTAAAATAACTTTTTCTTTCCATCTTTATTGAAATTTTGTATTTGTATTAGAAACAGTACCTATGTTGAATAAAGTTTTACGTAACCAGAGCAGGTTTATCTGACAATTTTGCATTGGGATGGCTAGTACAACAAATATATTTTGCGTGTGTCGAAAAGTCTATGATGAAAGCATAAAGTTAAGCACCAACTTTACGATCGCCCACAAGTAAGTCTTAAAATGACCCAGTTCAATTAAGTTTATATCTATTTTTTTCTGAATTCACTTTACGTCTCGCTAGAACACTGTTTTTCTTTTCAAGTTAAAATCATATAATAACATTTATTATTTACTCCTAGTTTACTATTTTTAATCGTCACCCCCAACAAACAAGTGGTAAAGAGCATTGTGTCAGATTACTTACGTGATTATTTAATTCTGAATATTCGTAACTTGGTAACAGCTACGAATGGGGCCCACATTATAGGCCTATAAAATTTTTGTTCAAAATAATTTAATTAACATCTGCCCGAAGTTTTGCATCTTCCTCTTGTTACATTCATTTCAAATTTAAGTCGTGTTTCTTATTTGGAACTATATTTTGTACCACGAGGCGTGCCAATCTCTTCACGATGTCCCGTTTATGAGAAATAATGACACAATTCGATAGAAAAAGTTAGTGTAAAGATTTTGTAAGGTCAAAAAGGGCCAGAATTACCTTCGTCACGCAACTTTTAATGTTGATCCCCAAATACCAAATTTTATGGAAATGTTGTTAATGTTTTCGGAGAGTAAGTAAGATGCCTTCCCCATCATATTTTCTCTCTTATGAATTTTGTGCAAAGAACCCATGGGCCTTATAGGTTAACTTTGTAATCTCATGACTAGAATTAGGTGGTCCTCGTTTACGTCTTCTGTGTCCAGTGTGACATCAAGAACTTCTCCAATTCTGAACTTCGACGAAAACGGCCACGTGAATCCTCACCTCCGAGTGTGCATTGTGTTTTAATGAGGTACCAATATTTGATCTTTCTTTACGTAAGGAAGTGGCAGATGCCTTAAAACTTGATTGATATTATGTCAACTGTGTTTCGTAGGTTAAACAGGTCACGGGAAATACAGACATTACTTGTTTACTGTTATATCTAACAATTGAAACATAATATGTTGGTAGGCCTGCCAATCGATATATTGAAATGTCTCGTTAAGAATAAATTGCAAGGTAACGCTGAGATGCAGTTTTTTGTTTCTACAGAGTTTTCAAAACGCAGGAACAGGTATGGTAAATTTAAAACATGGACTTCGCATCGATTATTCAGGGAAAAATTACGGGAAAATGTTTCCATTTATAGCATATGTACAGATTATCCCATACTTAACGAGATGTGTAATAACCCATTGCACTCTTTTGTTAAATAATTGTAGAGAGTTCAGTTACTATAATAACACAACACAGTATGGCAGAAGTTTCAAAGAAACACTCTTATTATATGACCGGTTCTTCGATGTCTTTATTGTGACACTAGTAACATATTTATCGTTTTATGTCCAGGCAAGCTTATTCGACAGCTCCCAAAAACGAGAAGGCTCTGAAGTGGATCTGTCTAAATCGAAACTTCAAGAAACGGGTGAGGCGTGGCGATGTGCCTGCTAGCTGAATCAGTCTCTTCGACAATTAATTACCTCGCAGAATGTCAGCCCCTGCTTCCTTCTTGCTGATGGTTTGGCCTAAATGTTCCCAGGAAGATACAACTTCGATTAAACTGACCAAAGATGTGGGCCATTGTAGAAACCTATTTGACAATTATGAGTATTAAACCAGGAATGTAAGCAAGATGAAGGACGAGTAAGTATCTTCCTGCGTGTATGACGTATTGCAGGAGTACGAGTGATAAACCTCCAGAAATTAGTATTTTAAATTTCAGTTCCTACTCGCTACAAATAAATACTTTCGCTGCTCAAACGAGTGCATTGAACGTTCAATTCTGCAACATAAATAAATAAAAAACAAGTTAATTTATGATAAAAGAAATCAAGCCGGATTAAAGGCGAATTTAAAGGGGGCAGATGTAACTTAAGTGAAAGCCAAGCAATAGATGTTTTAAACATTTGCTTCAAAGAAAATCAGTTGCATTATGCTACTGAAATTGGTGCGTTGAACACGGCAATGGGAAAGAAAACTCACAAATTCACTTGATATTTGGAATATTGCGTTGTGGTTCACCTAAGAACCGTCACATATAAAGGGCTAATATTTATATACTTTTATGATACTAGAGAGATAGTATCTTTCAAATGACTATCAGTTAAATATTGGATTTGATTAAGAGTTTAAAGAAGTCGTAGAGTAAAGTAGGAAAGAAAGATTGTTATAGACTTTAAAAATCGCACGATAGCGAAAACTTTTATATTTTTTACGATTCCTGCATGATATATTTCGTATTTCAAAAGCTGGGAACAATATTGAACTTCATACTTTTGTGTGAAATATGAACCTTCGCTGTTACGGATATATTTTTGGCGTCTAAATATTTACTTCGCCGTTTGGCGTTTTCAGGGCCACAGATCTACAACACATCATTTTGCGGAGATGGATTTTTTATTTCGAAACAAATCCATGCTTATGTATCTATTTGTTGTTGGATGAAATAGTTTAACTAACAATTGTGAAGCAGTTCTCAAGTTACAGGCCTTTAATTCTAGAACACAGATTGCCCATTGCATGAATTCACCAATTTAGAATGTGTCTACACTCGTGCGCTTTCGTTTTCAACTTTCAATTCAACTTGCGCTTCAACATTCAATTCAACTTTCGTTTAGGGCATGCCTTTGTTGAATGTGTCAAAGGCATGCCCCTAGCTGTCCACACC